CCTCACCCGACGGTATGTGGAATATACTCGCTTTTTTGTTTCTTTCAGAAAATTTATCCTTTGATGCGACGGAAGGAATAAAGGACTGATAACATGGTAGAGTATGACCCAAGGTACAATGAACTAATTCTAAAGATACAGTTCCTAAGTTTTTAATGATTTCCTCTGGATGACTATTATCTTCTTCGCAAAGCTCGATTTTCGAAAACTTGAATGGCATTATTTTAGTGAAATCGTTTTGTAAATAGATACCATGAAAGGTGATTGCTGGAAGTTGATGACGATGGATGGCATAGCTATCCATCAAGACACCGTCACAGTATAGATATACTACGCGATCAAAAAGAGCCCTTGATCCCGAGAGCTTGACATGGAACGTCTGGCCCGGTGTGGATTCGCAGAAGACCGTGTTTGGTGCTGCCGAAGGAACGGGATACTCAGCTAAAGGTGTCCCATTGCAGATGAGATTTGCTTGGAGGTCATTCGCTTGTGGCATGATGTCAATTGGTTGGTTTCTCTTAAAGTCGATGAGATGATAAGTTATGGATAGTGTGTGGATAAAATATGTATGTAGAGATATGTTCAAAGAAGATAACTAAGATGGGGAATGGGTTCCGATGACCTTTAAATACCATCCGAAGATGGTCAACAGCTGCTGAATTTCAAAAGGGTCCATTTCAGAATATATGCACTGCGGCTTTTTACATACAGCACACAGTGGTGACGCAACCGCGGCGCAGCTATCCAGCTCAGCATGAGTCTGGAGATTTCAGCGCTGCAGCATACGATGGACGAGAGAGGAGGGTGGAGGACAAACCTCAAACAGCCTCAAACCCCAAACCTCAAACTCGGATACAGCCTGTACAGCCTGTACATACTGTACATATACAGGCTGTACAACTCTTCAATACGCAACTTACCCTTGCCCACCCTCACCATAGAACCCATCTTGAGCACAGATCACCAAACCTTTGATTATTCGGACACAGCTCAAGTATTGGCTGATCTATGGCATTCAAATGATTGGTTTCCAGAATCATTCTAGAGGGGCTTGTTCAACCATAAGAATAATTTAGTGTGATCCATGCCCACACACGCTGGTAACTACATACTATTGATCACTGACCACCTCTTACAAGCCCTGAGGTGTGATCCATTCACATTGGTTTAAATCAAAACACAAACCACCTTGTACATTTCGAAACAAAGGAAGGATGTGTCTTCATTTATCGGGATTGTGTTTTCTGATTGACTTTCTCTAAACACATAGCTTGATTCTAAATACGTAGCTTGATTCTAAATACCTAGCTTCTTTCATCATCTTTGCTTTATTTCCCAATGATGGCGTCAAGTATACCCAATCCTGATCTTGATTCTCCTTTATGCCGTCGTTGCGGTGAAGATTACCCAGGTAGAAATAAGACTCAACTGATTTGTGAACCATGTCAATGGAAGCAAGATCACCCAACCGAAGTCAATAAGATGGTACCTTGTCTTATCTGTTCAGCCCAGTTTGAGGTCCTCAGCACTGGATTGTGTGGTCGATGCAAAAAAAATCCAAAGGTGGTTGCGCTTCAAAGTCCTTCAGCATCTCGTCCATCAGTGGCATCACCAGCTAAATCAATCATTCCACCAATCATGAATTCACCGCACAAAACCCTTTCTTCTCTTTCAATTCCCTTTGGCTCTCAATCATGCTTGATCTCGCCTTCAAAGACATCTATCACCTCAAGTTATCAACCTTTGATACATTCCGGATCTTTGCGTCACTCAAGCTCTCAGGCATCGGAACCTCTGACTCTCAACACAGCTACACCTTCATCAGCTCATTATGGAATGCACCTTGAGAGCAGTGTTCAAAGAGCAATTTCTCAGGCTCACGAACTTCAATCTCGCCAACGTCAACTGCAGATAAATAACCATCGAAAGGCAGCTGGTCCGTATCCTCCCAGCACTGAAGCAAGATCATTTGCAAGATCCCAGCTAAAGAGAGTATCCGGATCAAAGGAACCAAAAACAACTGGAAATTTGCTCATTAATATTGCTTATATGTTGGATAGTGAACTGGTTGAAACTCAATTGCTTGGTGCTCGATTTGAATACGATTTCTCACAGCCAGATTGGATGATTGATTCGACAAAACAGGCCTGTACTTACTTTAGAGATCGCCACCCAACTTTCCCCTCACCTCAACAAGTAGTTGAGCTTGGCCTTCTTAGCCTACCACCTTATCAGAAAGAATGGTACCACCTGGGTGAATTAAGCGGACGCAAATCATTACCTAATCTTATCAACGAAAGTTACCTTCGTTCAAAAATCGCTAGTGGACGTGGTCTCGACAAGATTGTGTTAATTTACAATTCACATGAATATCTGACGGCAATCGGTGAAGAAAATGTTGAAGATGACTTCCTACACCTAGAACGTTTGTCATCTATTCCTCCACGTAGCATCACATTACGATCAGATTCTGCCAAAAGTAAGTTCTTATGGTTCAATTTGCTTGAACTTTCTCTATCATCAGAATCTGATATGTAGATGATAGAAACCACAGCTCGAAAGTCGGCTCTTCTTCTTTCTTCGGGTTCAATAGCTTCAGTGGTTCAGCAGGGATCAGTCATTTCAAATGTTGATCATGGTGAGCCAATTTCTTTTGCAATGATCAAATTCAGTCAATTTCTAATTGCATGTTTTTTTGTCTTGCAGAGTCTACACCTCCTCCAATAAGCACCTCGATTTCAAAAGACCCCAGACCAATTGTACAATCGATCGAAACTCAAACATCACCACCAATTTTGCATTCAAAAGGAACCCAGACTCCTTTATACCAACAATCAGTTGAACAAGTCAATACCGAGCTTGTTTATGAATTGTCTGCTGAACCTGTTCATCAAGTGCTGAAAAAGATCTTCGATGATGCCCGTAAGTCATTTTCGATATCGTACTATCACAAAGATAATCAAGCTGACTTCAATTCTTGAAACATAGCCGGTGGTAAAGTTACTTTTAATTGTTTAGGGATGATGCGAGCCCTTGGAAGAGGAACTCTTAATGTTACGACCATTTCTCGAAGCCGTATCAGCCCTGGTTGGAAAGCTGGTTCAATGCTTACTATCATCACAACTCATCCTGACTCACCTGATCTTGATCAAAACATACTCGATCGACTAGTATTTGAAAAGGCCGACATCATGTATTATGTCGATCGTCTTGCATTGATTGGAAGTGGAGCGTTTATGAACTGTTACAAAGCAAAGGTTGTAATCGAGGGTCAAGTGCGAGATATGGTTGCTAAGCAGGGAATAGGAGCTTCAATCAGTATTGAAAGCTATCAAGCATTGGCACAGCGCTATCTACAAGCAGAAAGGTGTATAGAGATGTTCAAGCTTGCTGTTCAGTCCCATTGAGATGATATTCCAAAGGATATCCATGATCTATGCCAAAAAATACGGGTCAGTGTATTCTCTTCCTCATAACATGCTGAATCGATGTCTAATATTGATTTACCACCCTCAGCTTGTCAAAAACTTTATTGTACACCAAGGACGCTCGGATGATCCTAAAACAGCCAACATATTTTTATTTGAAGAGAAGATTGAAGGAAATTTTGTGAAATTTTTTGGTAATCTATTCTTTGGAATCCCCGAGGACAAGGAGAATGAAACCATATATCAGATTATGCATACATTATCACACAAAACTTATCATGATAGCTATGGTAGATGGATGATTGCAGATATTCAAGGAAATAAAGACGGGCTACTCACAGACATCGCTATCATAGATGAAGAGTGAGTCCTTTTTTGCATTTTTTGTTTGTTTAATGCTCTAACTGAAGACTTTTCAGGTACCCATGGACTATGGGAAACACCAACCGACTTGGTTTGATTGGATTTTGCCTAACAGCAAAATGTAACTCCTTGTGTAAGTATCTTGACCTCCCACCTCCTCGTAGTGCTAGATACCCCAAGCTTGTGAATGGTGTAGTGGTTGAAGGGACTGAGAACGATTTTCCCGTGCTGGATTCTGATGCTGAGCGCTCATGGGAATTAGAGGCTGGTATCCGTTCTATTTCTGCATCAACTCATTGTTAAAAAATATCTTCTATGAAGATAATTTCAATGTTAAATCTCTCATCTAAAATAATAAAAAAGATACTTTATATTCTTTCAAATTTAAAAACTATATATAATAATGAAATACACATTTGGCCCTCTGATCTCAAACAAACAAACTAAATCTTGCTTTCTTAATTCCACAAAAGACTGAGTATTGTGAGATTCAACATAATGAGCAACTAAATCTGACCATCATCTACTACATCTTCAGAATCTCCAAATCTGTTAAACCTGTCATACTCTTCGTATTCTCCATCGGAGTTCAACATTCCTTCTGGAAATTCATCTAAATCTACATTCATATACTTCAATAGTCCCAGAACTGCTGTAAATACTTCCCATACATTGTTTAGAGTGATCTTGGATTCAATAAAGCCTAGCTCTTTGATTATGTTTGAGACAGTAGAAGCAAATATGGGTGGGGTGATTTGAAATAAAGTTTCTTCATCTGGGTAATAATGAGCAATCATATTTTGTACAAATTCTTTAGGGACCTCGAGCCCACCTTCAGTTCCTTTGTACTTTTCAGGTGCATAATGACACACTTCAGGTGAAACCCCTGTTGGAACAAGGGAATACTTTTGTTTGGCAATGCGGTTGAAGTTACGTTCCAGAATGAAGGAATCTAATATTCTCTGCACAAGCCTTATAAAAAGATGCAGGAACAAAGCCCTATAGACAGAGTAAAAATCATAATGAATATCATGAGTTAAGTGAAAAGATTTAAATGAGGATTGTACGTACTTCTGGATAGATTCTTTAGGGTGATATATCCCTTCAAAAATTGCATTTATAATAAAATCACGGATTGTTATGTTTTTTTGTATCATCAATTGTCCCAATAATTGTTCAATTCTTTGATTATGCTGTGATGTGGTGAATAGGTGTCTTCTTTCTGCCTCCTCCCAATCTAATCCACCAATGATATGAAGAAAAGTGATTTGGAAAGTTGCAATGTCACCGGTCTCTGATCCTTTGTCAGTAGTCACCTTTTGAGGACAAACTCCCATATCTTCAACTGTTCGTAAGAATTGAACTCCAATCCTTCGTGGATCATTATTGTTTGTTGCAACATGTAGTTTCAAAACCTTTCGACTCCATGAATCAATTGCACCGTAAATACATATACCAAAGGGCTTCAACTTATCGTGCCCATCCATAGACCAGACAAAATTGGGACCAGGAACATCGTACAACCGGCGGTGTAGTTTACGTCGGTGTCTTTCTTCAAGGCCTTCTGGGTATAATTCTCTCATCATAGCATGAACTGTGTCGCGATTGATCTTAAGACCATGATCTATTGCAAACCCTTTCTGCATTGATCTAATACCAGCTGTTGCACGGGATCCTTCTACCGCTAATAACATTTGATCTTTAACTTCTTGCACAGATGTCAACCCCAATTTAATATCATCTTTCCTCCAATTCAGCCCCATCTCTTGGCATAGCGTTTTGAGTTTGTTGTTGGTAAATTCAGGTATCTTACACACACGTTGAATGTAACTGACTACTTCTTTTTTTTGTAGGCCACGTATATGACAAAGTTTGATTTGGCCAATGATTTCCGCTTTTTTTTCGTCTGTGTATTGCACGTGTTGGTAGGTATGTAAGTTCAGCTTGGTCAGGCGATACTTGAGTTGCCTTGGGGTCCAGTCAATGTTGTGCTCATTATTCAAAAGTTGAAGTAAGTCCGGTAGTGAGATTTTGGTTTCGCATGCTTCTCGGAGTATTGTGTCGATGTCAAAGACTTGGTCTGCTGGTCCGATTTGATCAAAGTTGGGTAGAGCAGGTGTAAGATTTTGATTCAAGTTGTCCATCGTGTAAGAACTGAGAATCTGGTGGGCAATTTACGTTCGACTTTGAGGGAGAAGAGGAATGGCAAAGGAGATTTCACCGCTCGGGGAAAACAAAAGCACATCGATGCAAATGAACAATGTGAAACATGTTCCGCGGCCATTTTGATCCCTTGTCTCGTGCCAGTCACGTTTGATGGCAAGTTTGATTTATGAGTGACAAGTGCTAATGGTGAGGGTGGGTATAGGCTCTACAAAGCCACGCAAACACGTTTAAGGTCAATCTACGACTGAAGATGCTCCATCATATCTTCTAGAGAAACGTGAGTGCTTTGAGACAAGACAGCGAGAGGCTGTCGAAATCAATCAACTGCTTTTGATAATCAAACAAATCGTTAACGATTTGTTAACTATATCAATGAACAGATGCCTCATGAAATCAAGATTGTTGGGTTCATTCTGTTTCACTCAAGAATCTTGAACCACCTGGTATGAACCATTGAATGACCTTTTTTAGAATCAACTCATTGGGATTTAAATCGTCCTCAGACTCCTCAATCTTACATTTTTATCAAGAAGTCAAATTTACTTGACTTGGAATGAATCCACCTAATCCTGCAGATCTCGATCATACCTTTTCTACTTCACCTAGTTATAACCATAACATCTATCCATATGGCTACCATTGTTGATACTTCTTTCAATTCACATGAAATGCACTGTTGCTGTTCGGTTTCATGCTGGAGTCGGGACAGGGTGCAAAATGAAAATGAAAACGGGACTATGAAGACGAAAAAAAGTTTGTGCAAAGAGTTTCTGTGTTTGGGATTTTGTACAAAAGGTGCTGAGCCATCTGGGATATATACCAGTCAATAAATTGAACAAAGATATAAAGACTTATAACGAAGCTTCTTTGAAACTCTGTCAATCATGTTAATTTGTATGCAATTACTGTTTTGCCTCTAGCTTCTGAGTTATGCGTCGAGATGATCTCAAGGTCCGAAGCAGACAGGCAGAACAGTTTGCATACAAATTAAAGTGATCTTCAAAGCAACAAATAAGCTTGAATCCTTTTGAAATGAAGATGAATCGATTTTTTAAATGAGAGATGGAAAAATTTAAAGTATAGACAGAGGAAACGATTGGAGAGAAAGGTTGATGATGAATTAGATATCACACATCTATCTATATCTATAACATAAAATCACGAACAGAGACAACCATCTCCCGCTTCCAATTCCAAGACAGAAGACCGCTTCATTTACATGCCGCGCCGCCTTCCCTCGCAACAGACAGACACTTCCAACTACACCACGCCCGGTGACGCACCACTTAATTAATTTTCCTGCGACACTGCCCCACCCAACAACCTCATCCCAATCTCTACCCTGCCAATCCATGAAACATCATCATGTATCCGTTTTCTCAGTCTGCAATCTGCTTGCCACAAGTCCCTCACAGCCAGCGCCTCACCCTACTCACGCTGGAACTCTCTTTTCTACCGGGCACTCCTACTGCTCAGCAACGTCACTTAAGAATTGGATCACCCACTCTACAATTTGCTCGCTTTCAACACTGCCACTCCCAGCACCTTGCGACTTGGCTTCCATCACAATTGTTCATGCTACACTAGCAGGTAGACACTTCCTTCCACCGTTCGATCACCGACCGGCTCACTTTGAATCACTTCCCATGCATCAATGCTTGAATTACAAATCAAAATTCGAAAACAATATGTAGCGTTAGCGTTCCACCGGGGTTTGATTGGATCAGTGTTGCGTTGAAATTTTGGAGAGGTGTTTGTGTCGCATCAAGAAGAACCTCAACGGACAAACTGTCTCACCTCTCAGTGTCCATCTTTTCCACAATCAACTTTATGCTCATTTATCATTCGGGCGTTCAGAGAATCAAAAAATCAAAAAGCTTCACAGTCTCTGCATCAATCAAACCGAAATAAAGCCATGTCTCTAAAAAAGAAAAGAGAAAGCTGGAGAGCTCGAAAGCTCACGAAGCAAGAATGGGCGGAAAATTCTTAGAACCAACTGTCTTAGCAGTTGTTTCAGATCTCGGTGGTTTCGAAGACATTCTTATCGAGTCCGATAACGATGAAGATAATCGTGAAAGACATGATAATCAATCAAAGCCGAGACTACAGAAAGTGTATAAACTTGGATATGAATGTTTAGGTTGTCTGAAGGATTTGAAAAACTTTTGGAGGCTAGATGAGGAAAATGATGATGGAACTGTGGCTAGATTACTTTAATCATTACTTCACTCGATCCTGATGATAATGAATATTGCAGGGTATCACTTCTTTTTTGTGAGTCAAGCTTTGTTATATTCAAGTTTGATTCAAACAATTGATGTGATTTCCTTAACATTCTTTCATTAAAATAGGTGATCTCATCTCGGCTCTCGCTTGGCCCATTGATATTGCTTCAGAGCTTAGAGAAATGAATGAACTATTGGACCAGGAAACCAAACGAGAGCTCAAACAGATTGATTTTTCAGGTCTCATTTCTGCTCAACTTTCTTACAAACGTGATACGTTAAATGCTGGTGCTTTGGTGCATATATTTAGGCTCATTGTTCCTGCTCTACAAAAGGGTCAACGGTATATATTTTCTCTCTTAATCTAGAAGCAGGACATTGCTCTGACTTTCAAATAATTGTACTTTTCAGATAGCAAACAGAAAAGGACAAAAATATCATATGATTGATGTTTTGAACTCTGTTTATTTCTTTCCAAGGATTCATTTACAAAAAGCTAATCTTGATTGTGCATTCTTTTTGAATCTGTAAAGTGGGGATGTTTACTTTAAATTCATTGAAGCATCTAGATCAGCAAGTGATAAAATATGAATTTTTATCAGTCAACCAGGATCAAGTAGGTCCATTGGGTAAATATCAATTGAAAAAAATTCTTCAGTATTTTTCTTAATCTGTTTGAATTCAAATTACAGCTTGTGTCTACTCAATTATTGTATTTATATACTTGATAGTCAACTTTTGTTCCAAAATGTATTCTTTAATGAACTCTACCCACATCTTTGACTTGTCAAGTTCAAGCAATGCCTAGAGTTTTAACTTTCAAGGTAACATCTGGAGCTGTGAAATTTATCATGAGTTCAGAATGGTATAACATTGTTCCAAAGTTCAAAGTTTTGGTTGAAATGGTTGATTCTGATTTGGCAAAGCTCACAATGCAGATCAAAATCATACCCCAAGTTTTGAGGTTTCTTGAACAAGCTTACAGAGAGAAGGCTGACAATGATAAGAAGAACATTTCAACTGGTCATCCAAGACATGTTCCCAGGCAAAACATAGATCAGTGTTCTCCTTGTAGCAAGTATGATGTAGGCATTTCCAAAATAGTAACCTCAGATAGAGATAACTAGTATGAAAGCCCACATCTTTGTCTGGAAATCTGCCTTCCAAAGAAACAATCTACAAGTGATAACTGGCCCAAAACATTTAACCACGTTGCCGGGGCTGTGGGAGGGAGATAAAAATGACTAAGGAAACAAATCATTGGTCAAGATTTGTCTGAATTCAATTAAGGTTGGGCAATAAATGTTCAGGATTCATGAATTTTTTAGGGAAGGAAGACTTTGCACATCATATGAGTGTTTCAAAGGAAAACAGCTTGGAACATGTCTTCTTGGGGGGGTCACAGAGAAGTTTGCACTTTGTTACCTAGGATTATCACCATGGGTTTATCACCATACGGTGAGTTGGTTTTAACGCTGTTTACTTATGGAAACTTGCTGACTGGATGTTTCAGGGAACTCACATATCTGAATTCATTGTGGTGTATGTATTGGCAGCACACATTATGAGTGGTCTCAGCAAGGAAGCCCTGAATGGAGAAACATTGTGAAGTTGAGGGGGAACATTGTGAGGTACGCCAAAGTGAATGCACACTGGGAGGTGAAGGTGAGTTTGGTGTGTTTGTGCTACACTATGAATGTAACTTACAGTGTTTTGGAATTAGATCAGTGAATTTCACATGGTCTACAAACAGTGCCCGGTCCGCCAAAGTGGGAGACTATGTGGTCTGCCAGCACTCAGATGCGGTCATAGGAGGATTGGAAGAAATTGTTGTGGCTAGAGACTACTGGCTGTGCTGCTTGGTATTGTATAGAGTTGTAATTAGTTGTACAAAGTGAATATAATCACCCAAGTGAACATGTTGCTTCTGTTTTTGACTTATGTAGCTTAAGCAAGCCCCATCTGTGTGGCCGTGTCCGCACCCTTGCAGAGGGACTTATGACTAATTGTCTATTTGCGGCACAAGAACTCCAAGGGTTAAGTCCTGTTATGTAGTTTTTTCAATTTTCCCACTTCCCTGAATAAGAAACCACACTCTGAGGCTTTACAAAACTTGTTCAGACTGTCTTTCTACATGTGAGCCATCCTTACAAATCCTAGAAAACATGGTGGAGGATTCCTTTTTTGAGGTGCTCTTGCAAGCTCTTATGTCCTACCTGTAAGCGGGTGTACAGGATGTATTCAAGAATATGTGGGACATTTTGTTCAAGGCAGAAAGTCTCAGCCAAAAATCAGTTGAAAAGACCATGATACAGGCCAGTGTTGTAAAAACGTTTAAATCACTCTCTAGACAATACCAACCATATTTTTCAAGATGTGAGGCTTCAAGGATGTGGAGAAAAGAATTCTGATTACTTTTTAATCAGGCTCAAACTGCTGTCTCTCATTGAGGAAAGTGGGAAAATAAAAAAAACTACATAACAGGACTTAATCCTTGGAGTTCTTGTGCCACAGATGGATAATTAGCCATAAGCCCCTTCTGCAAGGGTGCGGGCGCGGCCGCACAGATGAAGCTTTGTTAAGGTAAGTTTTTGACTTGTGTGATATGTACCCACAGCCAAGGTGAAGCATTGAGTCTCGCTTGAGTGGCGGATGGATATGTACAAGGGGCGGCGCAGCCGCCCAAGACCTCGTATTAGATAAAGATGGAAGGAAGTAGCTCAACTGGTCAAGCTCTGGCTAGGTAGTTAGTCTGATGTGTTTGAGTCCACCGAGTCCAGACGTTTTTTTTGCTTGAACAGGACCCTCTTAAATGAAAACGATCCTGATTAAAGGCCCTAGTTTTACAGCAATTTCGAAAATAAAAGTGGTTGTCGTGTTTTATTTTTTTATTTTTTTCATTTCCGTGGTTTCCAATCCTGCGGGAAAACCGCGGGAAAGGCTGATGGCAGTGTCGAGCTCAGTTGAACTGGATTGCTTGTTTGAAGCCAGCGCCACGTCCATCCACACACAATTGGCCCATTCTCAACATGCCTGCTTCTCACAATTCACAGTCTTTTCGAAGTTTTAATCAATCACACCCATATCAAAGAACCATCAACTTCAACACTGCTCAACAGTCTTGTGGTTCGTATAGTGGTACAAGTAGGTTGTTGAATCCTAACCGTTTGTCTTGTATTGACTACCCAAATAGGATCAGTCAAAACAGCTGTCATACTACCGGCTACTGCTCCTGCAAACATTGATTGAAGGGTGGTTAATGAACTTCGTAGAGGGAGTTTCGATCCAGTTTGGGTGCTGCGTAAGAGGATCGAACGGGTTTCTTCAAAGAATGCATAATAGATTCTGTTAAAGGGTTTCAAAAGAAAAAATTATAATCAGGTTGATGAATTTCAAGGGAAGTTTGACGGATTGAAGGGTTAGATACCCATTGGTGATCGCGATTCCAATAAGAGAAGATCCAAGCCCTTCATAAATTTCAAATTACCCTGTTCCTGATTAATTGCTATTTTTGTATATATAAGTATGTAAATCTATAGCATGATTTTGATGAAGTTAATCCCGATCCTGATTTCTGAGACCTAGCACAAAACCAAGTGAAAAATCACCTTGAGCCCGAAAACCAGCAGTTAAGAAAGTCCAAAACTTACCTGCAATTGATTGATCACCGTCTCGGATGTCCTACAAATTGATCGCATTTGAGTGATTTCCAAATGAACACCCTCTAGCAAGGTTGGGATTGTGAGCTGAGTTGAGTAAGAGAAAGTACGAGTGAAGTTGTTCCTAGTTGATTGATTTTGGGTTATGTATTGAGCTGTACAGGCTGTACAGGCTGTATCCGAGTTTGAGGTTTGGGGTTTGAGGTTTGTCCTCCACCCTCCTCTCTCGTCCATCGTAGCAGCAGGACGCAATAGGTGCAATCACGCAGCCCCAAAGCGGATTTGATTCTAAAGTTCCATGGTTGGTGCCAATCAAAATGGCAACCGATCATGCTCATCTGTCGCCATTTTTTTTTTGCATTGCTTTAAGTGCTTTTTGAGCCGTTAGGCTATCAAACACTGTATGTATGTCCAGCACCGGTAAAACCCCTCTGGCTGTGTCAGGGGAAAGGTAGCTGTTGGCTGTTTCATCTAAGTGTACATGTGTAATGAAGAAAAAAAATGGAATGAGGCGGTGAAGTATGGATGAAGAGGATTAATCTTGAGGTTCGGTGAGGTTGGTAGGGCGGGCTTCGTCTGAAATTTTCGCCCAGGTCCATCTATTGGCGAAGCGCCAAGTGTTGTTGCAAAAGGTGCGATGCGTATGTCTT